CCCCCCGCCAGCTGCTGGCAGGCCCTCTATGTATAGGAAGGTTCACTCTCACATGAGTACAGCTACACATACTGTAACTGCTCATTTGCACAATCACACATTACGTGTCCTGCACTGGATATTTAAAAAAGGCTATTTTGATGGAGTCTATTTAATTGGCTGATTGCCACCCTACTGGATTCCTGTTACTCACCATGCTGCCCATATTTGGTATGTCTCGAAATCGGTCCAGGGTTTGAAATTTCTGATTCAGTTCCTGGAACAGCTCCATGTGTCTTTTCCTGGTGTGCATGACTTTCTGCAATGGCAAGGTTTTTTTTTTTGGTATTGACAGCCAATAATGGAAAAGCATCTTCCTCTCCACCCGCTCCAACTCTGATCAATTTGTTAGTGTCATGGTAATTTACTTATAGGCCAGGTTTGAAACAAATCTACTTGTCTCTGCATATATACAAGTGGCTGCCAAAATTAAGGAAACACCAATATAATTAAAGTTAGAGGGATGGGACAGTTAAATCCTGAAACTATTTTTATTTGCCATGTCTGGAGTATCTGAATTCAACATAATTCTTCATTACTGACGAATTGAGTCGTTTAGGGGTTTTGTACGCATAAGGGAAATCCTTATTATCAAACCTTGGCACAAAACTTCCATTTAACGGGTTGGTGTGCATCGAAGCTAAAAAACAAAATGCACCCCACACCAAAATCGCTGCCAGAAGCCTCATGTTTCCTTTACTTTGAAAGTGCGCACAAGATATATGCAGTAAAGCCTGCTTAAATAATTGCAAAGGAATGCTAAAAACCTGCCAAAGGGGGTTTTGAATGTGTTTGCAAGCCAATATAATCATTGTTGAAACCAGTGGTGAAATCAGATGTGAAATGTGCAAATGACTTTAAAAAGCATACATTTTTGAAAATCAACGTATAGCTAATGGATGGAGGAGATGGAGGAGGAACAAATGTTGATGAGAACTGTTGCCCTGTTTGTCAGTTGACAGCCTTGCTTTTACCTTAACTACACAGCAGGTAAATAAATCTCATTGAGTCAAGGCTTTGTAACCCCAATAAGCTTAAGAGGCACAACAAGTACTAGTAAATCAAATGACAAACACAACTGCAAAATAAATGGCTTTCTTCTGCATAAAAAAGCTAGATGCATGTAGTACGGAATAAATGTTTTTACGTACCTCAAAGTCCATATCGGAATATCGTGACTTTCGTCTCTGTGAAAATAAAACAGGAAGTACTGAAGTTAAAAATGGTCTAAGAAGATACACTGAATGGTGTATTTTAAGGTGTTTGATGCAGCTCTGACTCCTTTGTGCTTCAACCACACGAACACATTTACCTCTAAGGAGCTCATAGATATCGTGGACCCTGTCTCACTCCTAGAAAGCCCCGCAGATTCCTCCATCTCAGCGAGGAAGTTCTTTACAGCCGTGCGCGGTTCGAAGGGCAGGTTCTGCATCTGCTCTGGAGCGCTCGGATACTGCTGCTCCAGGTTCACATTCATGTGGTCCATGCCTGACGGGCTCATATTGAAGTCAGGACTCATCTTGTAATGCATCAGCCTCTCATGTGGCAGCGTATCCATATTGATGTTCATCTTGTTGTCATCTTTCAGGAGGGTGCCCGACCCCGACACTACCGCAGAGGCGCGAGGCATGACTATGTAGTCCGTCTCCATCATTTGGGCCTGCATGGCGTGGCCCTCCATGTCGTGGCCCCCCATGTCGTGGTCGCTCTGGCGCATGGCGTCGTCGGTGCACAGGTACACAGCGCGGCGCAGTTCAGCGTTACTGTCGACCATGCACTGCTGCTCTTTCAGATCACCCACTCCCATCGGCATGTGCATAGCTGAAGGCTGCTGGATAATCACTTTGGAGATGATGTTGCCAGGCAACGTAGAGTAGTTGAGGCCTTCGGGGAGCTTCTCATCTTCCTCATCATTGAGAGAAATGCGGGAGAGGGTGCCTGTGATGGTGGCTGCGCGACACGAGCCCATGTCTTTGTGGAGCGCTGCAGGGCAGAGTGATACACCCATTAGTTGATGTTTTTCTGTAATGAAAGTTGTGTCACAGTTTGTCGGAGATAATCCCACATATGAATACAAGAACAAGACATTCAAGTCAATATGAAGCAATTCTCAAAGGATTGTGTACTGCAGACAGGACAAATAACTGCTAATAAATGCTTAGTGTGACATTTCATCTAAAGGCAAAGGACACAACAGCAGGTATCTCTGGAGGATGTAACAGTAAATAAAAATGTATCCTGACATTTTCCCTGCCATAAAACATGTAGCCTTATCATAATGTAATGGTACTGATGACCTTTTGAATCACTGAATATTACACAGCAGCTATCTATTCAGACATACTTTACAGTTATAAGAACAACTCGCCCTCCAAATTGAGCAGTTTAATATTCTCCTCGTGAATCAGTAGGAATTATGTTGTCTGTTCACAAAATGTCTGCAAGCAGATTATAAGGAGTGCAAAAGATCCATCTTGTCTTTTTGTTCCAGTCTAATTTAATTCTCAGTGTTGACATGGGGAAAAACATTTGAGTCTGGTATTCAGTTTACTCTTATACTCTGTAAGTGACACAGCAGAATATTTCCACTGCACTCGAGGATAATCCCCGTTTGTGAACAGGCAAATTAAATTTGCTGACCCCAGAGTGTAATCTGGGAAGTGCATTTCTCTTGGCAGCCTTTTCAGGTCATGATTTATGAATGACACCTGTTTGCTCTGCCTTTTTGTATCGAGTAAGTCCACTTTAGCTTTACAAGACTGCACAGCATGAAGTAATGTTTGGTCAAAAGAGCCAGACAACCTTTTTTTCCTCTCTTAAGAAGCTGTGTTTCTGAAAGCTCCTAAAAGTGGTCCGCTCTTATATTTCCTGCAGATCCAATGTTTTTCATTGGTTCGGAAGGGATTGGAGAAAGGCGAGTTCTCATGCTCGTGCCAAGTTACCGCCACTAGATACATGCAGGATACTCGCACAATCTCTAAGGAATATCTATTTTTATTAAATCATCTCTCCAAACAATTAGTGTGGCTTTAAAGTACCAAAAACTAGACGCAAGAATCAGGAGGTTATACACTCCCACTAGAAGAAAATCCTCTTGGACTGAAATACATAGCACCTACGACAGTGTCTACATGTTAATGAGAAAAATAATTAAAACATGCAGGATGGGAAAAGCTGATGTTTTTCACATTAGTGCTGTTAAGCTTAAAGTGAATATCCAACAGCTCTCTTCATACTGTTTTGTTCTCAGATTAAAGTCAGTGTTTGTGGTAACTGTGAGAAAAGTCTCCTGTGGGGTTTGATGCTTGTTATGTAACCTCAGCTATTTTTATTGTCTATCCTCTTTCTTTTTTTACATGCAAGGCAAGGAGAATGCTGTTGATAAAAGGCTGTCGGTTCTTTACCTGATCGGCAGGCGATGTCCACATCTTTTTCAAAGTCAGTCTGTAGATAGAGGACAGTGAAAAGGTCAGTATCGCGAAACATTGAAGCCTTTTATACTGTAAACTGTGTGAATACAAAACATTCATGTGGAAAAGCCAGCCCCAAAATAATGATAGAATATATATTTTGTATCTGTATTTCCCAATGCTTGAAAAAAAATGCAAAGCGGTCGTTTTTTCTCCTCATCCTAACAATATATCAATAACACATCTATGGGGGGTGGGGAATGCATTAGCTGCATGTATTTGGTGCTGCTAATGGCTGCATTGAATTAGGGGGCCTTGACATCATTCTGCTATCATGAGAACTATTTCTCTCTGAGGTGCATTAGAATACTAATGGCCGATCATTGCCATGATGTGCCATCGGCATCGTTGTGCTAGATGAAGAGGGCTGGTGTCCCATTTCAAAGGTCAGGCTGGGAACAGTCCTCTATTACCCTGTGAGAGGAAATGAGAAAGATGCATCGCAAACACGGCCTGTAAGTTCAATCAAATGGAAATAAAGTGTTGGGCTCGGGGCCTAAGAAAACCAAAGGCAGCTGATGCCATTTATCACAGGGCCAAATGTCTACCCTGCATGTAATTGCAGCTTTGCAAAAGCGTTGTGTGGAAAATGATAAAGCTATGGAAAACAATTCCTCATGTTTTAGAGGCTACATTCAAGCTGGATAATAATGAACTAAAAGAATGCACAAAGAGCACAAGTTAAATTAAGGTCAATGGGGGGAAAAAGGGAGTTCTGGATGTGTATTATAAATAATCAGGGAACATTAGGTGTGTTAAAAGACAGAGGAGCAAATGGTGTCAGATAACAGAGAGTAAATGTGCCTACCATTATCTGAGCATGCCCGTTAGGGAAGGTTCCGGTTGCATCTCCACTGATTGGGTCTTGGCAGTTTCTGAGCCGACACCTCAACGCATCTTGGACCTAAAGACAGAGGGAATCCGTTTTTCATCATGTCACTAACGCTGTTTATCACATGCTTTAAACAGATAAGCTCATTACTGTTTTGTAAATGGGTCTTGTCTTCTGTCAAGTATGAAAACTATAGTGTATTTCGCCAAAATGCAACAACAAACACTTAAATGTATGTCCGGGTTGTGATAACTTCAAAAAGAATCATCTCCATTTGAACCTGAATACAAGAGAAAAAAGTGATCATGGGTGAAAGAAACATGACTTCCTCTACCTCTCTCCGTAGGACACAGTGCACCATCACAATGACAAAGCCCTGCAGCGAGTCAAAGACAGCGAAGAGGATCTGAAAGAGAATGGAGCGTTTGTCCGTCATGGCGAGCACCGCAGACATCCAGGTCAGAGCCAGCAGAGGTAGGACGACACAGGAGCTCCACAGGGACGCCCTGAGAGAAGGAAGGGAAGAGAGAACGCATTTAAAAGCACGAGTATTGGTATAGATAACACGATAACATCTGGAGTACAAAGTCCATATCTCCATCAAAGCCTTTGTTACTCCAGGGCTTCAATGTGCATGCTTGTAGTGATGTAAGCTGTAAAATAGACATGTAACACCACACGTTTACAGTAAAACACATCCCTGTACTATAGCTCGGATGTGTTGTAGATGTTAGTGCAACATCACTTCACGCTGCAGTGGACTGCAAGGTTTAAATTGTAGCGGTGGACACGCTTTACATGCAGAAACTCCCTGTAGCATCGTCTTATTGATTCAGAGACACTGACAGGCACTTACATTGCATTGCTAGCTGTAGTTGCTGATAAAGCAGTTGTTGATACAACACCACATTTGGCACACTTGAGAGTTAATCCTGTATGGGGCTCACTCATCTGTCTGTGGGACATAGAGACAACAGCATGACAAACAACGCTAACAGCCACTATCCCCGACTTTCAAATTCTCCCCCAGCATGTTAGCAACAGCAGACGTAGCCAATGTGTGGGCGATTTAATGATTTTCATCTCGTGGACTGATTCTGCCAAAGAAATAGGAAGCCACGTCCCTCCCGAGAGAGATCTGACCTCTTTATGTTTATGCTTCTACGTTTCCTTTCAACAGCACGAAAAGCAGGTCTGAATCTCCATATGTGTGTGAAAGAAATATCAAAGCGTATTTGTATTTTTGCATAAGAAGAAGAAGAAGAAAACCAGGTACTGACAAGGATTGGCTGTCATACCCTGCTCGATGCTTCAGCTTCTTGTCCAGGATGCCATCCCTGGACACGAGTTTATTAAACACCAAGATACCGATCACCATGTTCACCTGTCAATGAGAAAAGGAAACAGGACTATTAGCTTTTACAATGAAACATTCGCAACAAGATTGTTTTAAAAACCGATGTTAAATATATCGCTTAATATCCGGGCTTGACATTTTTCGTATGATTTAATGTCATTATCCCGCTGGGCTTTTTATTTTCTCTGCCTGCGCTGAGCTTTGACCTCTAGCTTCTATTGTTTGTTCCTCTCTGTGACATTTCAGCCAAGGGATGAGGCATGCCCTGGATACCCAGTCCAGAACAACAGCCTGAAGAAAAGATCGGCTTGACAAGAAACACTCGTCTTCTCAAAGGCACCTTCCCCTATTATTAGCAGCACCTAGGCAAATATAACACTACAGATTTAGCAGCTGGGTAAATATATCTTTTAAATATTCCTTTATATCAAATCCCTCTTGAGCTGAGATAAAGACACTATTAAGTATTTATACTAATACATGTGGGGAAGTTCATCTCCATCACCCTTTGTGTCTGTGAGAAATGGTATTGTGATGTTCTAGTATCAATACAGTACATCATTCTCACACTGCAGAGGGTCTTTTCTGCGTTTTTTTTACAGAGATTAGCTTATGTTCCTCTGAGGTTCATCACATTTGAAAAACGAAAGCAGAGCAAGACTGGGCGCCTCCGTGCATTTAAAGCTCAAACTAAGTCGTTTAGTCGCTTTTTAAAAAGGAAATCTGAAATATCCTTATTTAAAAATCCCACCACAGTAGAGTGGTTTTACAATGAAAAAATAGCACTCAGTATTCAGCGTCCTCTGTCCCTCTGACACAGATTTAGTGATTTGCATAATCACATTCTTGGTGTAATTTTCTCAGTACAACAATGTAAATACAAGATGATTAAAATACCCCAGTATATTAGATTCTGAACAAATCTAATGCATTAATACTTTATAACCTCACAGCGACATGGAGCACCATTATGGTAAATGAAAGGGAATTGCTTGAGCACATTGCCTGATGGGATGCTCATTACTTTGACTTTGAAAGCGGAGTGTGTTCCTCCTCTTAGGCATTTTCAGGGCAACATTTAGTCGTTTTTGAACACAGTGCAAATGTACCACATTGATACTGTAGCATCTACAGGACCGCACATTGATTTGTTTGGGTACAAATGATGTCTAAGCCACGCAAAGTTTGTGTTTTGGGATATATTTCTTCAGGTGATGCCTCAAACTTTAACTGTAGTTGTTGTAAATCCCCTATCTGTTCATCATTTAAAAGTTAAAACTGGACATAACATACCAGAACAACAGCAGCTGCCGGTCCAACAAAGGCATACAGGAGTCCACCCTCCAAAGACAACCAACAGCTGCAGAGAAAACAGGTGAAAAAAACTGTTAACTCCCTCCAAGGCATCAACATCAGAGCTAATGGTGCACACCAGCATACAATTGTATTCCCCTCAATTGTCAAGGGAGAAGTGCCATATGCTGTAACTCTATTTCCAAAGTTTCACTGGGTAATAAAATGCTAAAGAGATTTTAAGCAGTGTTTATGGGTATGGTATCCAGCAGGAATACAAGTCACACAGAATTGGGGTCTTGTTGCGCTATTTTGAAATTTGATTGGGTCGAGTGGACTTTCTTTATGGCCCTGTTTAGATAAGTAAGCCACTGCAGGAGCACTTATTCATTTCCCCTAAGTGTTGATATAAATAAGAATATAGAAAAGAAACACTTACTATAAAGGTGTCCCATAGCCCTTTGTTTTGGTGAATCCCATTGAAACAGCAACCACTAGAGCTGGTAATCCTTGAAAAGAGAAAACAAGCAATAGTTATTCGAGAAGCATAAGCTCACTTCAATGCAGAAAAAGTCAGACTCTGCCTTCCAGCCATTTTAAAAAGCGCATATTCACTCCATTAGATGCTCCAGTATGAGATTATACAATCGTCTGAGACGTATATGATGCATTTCAATATTTCAATCAACATGCTGCACAGTATTCCATTAAGTAGCAGAGGAGAACACACTGTACTGTACTGTGCTTCCACAAAATGGCAGCAGAGCATCGAGTCCAGGGAACCACATAGTGACATTTCATTAATTCACTGTAAGAAATGTCCCTGCCTTCCACACATGTTTTATATGGAGGGATTTTTTGTTGCATTATGACTCCTCATTGTGGATTGGTGTAATGGAGTCGGTTCTTCTTACTACTGTGTGCTCAGAATATTAACGCTTTTTCCTCTCGGAGCAGCGCAGGCAGGTGCTATTGATGTAATCAGTTTCCCGGAGGCACGAGGCGAAGACCCTGTGTCTCTCTGCAGTGCTGAAGAGGTAAAGAGTGCCGAGTGTACACAAGCGTGTCATGAATCATCGTGCTGGCAACAGCCTGGCGGAGACGCCGCACTTCAAACCGGCTGAATTAAGAGACAACAGGTACCGCGTGCTGCGTTTCAATTTGTAAATCTGTTCTAAAAAGGTTTATCGTCTTCTATTTGAACACAGAGGGTTATCTGAGGAGGTTTTGAGTCAAAAATAGCATTCATATTAGATAATGCTTTGTTATTGTCATAGAAAATGATATAGATTGTTTTATTTATCAACAAACTGTCTGTCGGGGCGTTTTTAGAAAAATCCATGTGATTGTAGAAACAGCCTTTGTCCATTTTTTCTTCTTGCAGCAAGCAGTGGCACTGCAATGACTAAGAGAGCCTTGTTTGTTGCTAGGTAACAAGAAGAATGAGTGTGGGCTCTTTCATAATCAAATAGATTTTTTTTTTTTTTTAAGGAGAGATTTCTAGCAGACTGAAAGAAACGAAACGTTTGGACGAGCACACAGGCTGATATTTATCAAATGAAGAAAAACATTCAAATCTTTCAAATGTTGATACAGATGTTGATCTGCCTGTGTTTCTTGACAGACATGTCGCCTTGCAATAGCCTCTTCTTTTGTGACGTAACACTCAAGAGTCAGGAACAGAGCGTGGGAGGAAGGGAAATAAAGTATCTGACATCCACACTGATTAGAATTTGTACGGGTACTAAAACCATTATGTTGGGAACTAACTATTTCATTTGGGATTCGTATTAATATTACAAATAATTGAATTGGAAAGGATTTCAGAATATGTATAATCATGATAAATCACTCCATTTTACCTCTGCGAGCATTTCCTCTCTCTCTCCTCTCTCTTTCCTACGCCTTTTCTGAGGTTTTACTGTACACACGGTGTGTTCTCCGCAGTGTAAGTGCTCCACTCACACACTCTTTATCAGACATAAGGTCATTTCAACCTGCTCTGCTGGAGCCGCACCGGTCTGTCTTGAGGGCCGGTCCATTTACCGGGCCCTCAGAGAGCTTGACTGGAGCACAAAAGCATCACAACAAAGAGGCCGACAGGAGGGAGAACTGGCGGCCCCACAGAGAGAGGATGGGAGCAGCGGACGGAAAAAAAGACACACAGATACTTGGAAAGACACCTTGGGAGGAAACGGCAGCTGCGAGGGATGATGGGAGATAATGAAGAGGTTTAGGGAAACATGCTGCTTTCTTACCCCAGCCCAGACACAGAAAGCGCTTGCGGATGAGCCTGGTCCGAACTTTTCCCGTCACTGCCATGTAGGACTGCCAGGCCTCAGTGAGGACCCAGCAAAACGATGCCAGGAAGAAGAAGTGCAGGAAGGCTGTTGTCATGACGCAGACTCCCTGTCGATACAAAGAGAGAAAAGAGTCAGAGATATACTGTATATTGGCTGCAGTACGTGCAAAACAACTTGGAAAAATGGTGCCCGCATTAATAGGAACTAATGCAGATTCCACAAGTGCAGATAAATCGATCATATTGATATTTCCTCATATCCCTGCAGCACTGGCAGCATTTCCCTGTCTAGACCATCCACTGGAGTACCTTCTTGTGCAGTGAATGAAACAAAGCCTCAGTTTAAACTGCAGCAGCAGAGGTGGCAGCAGTAGTAGAGATCAGAGAGAGCCTAGCGTAGCATTCCTCTGCACTCACCCACATTAGTATGCTGGGGATCCCACCTGGAGGCCATGTGAGCCAAGGTCAACTGTTTTACACAGAGACACAACACCGCTTAAATGATACAGAATGCACGCGGCGGAGACAGCAGATTGCATTCAGGCTCGACAATGAAGCACCACTTTTCAGCTTCATTAGCTGGTCCATCTTTGGTCTACCGAGAGGCCTCTCCAAATGCGATTGTTTAGAAGAGGATTAGAAATAAAAAAAGGAGGATCTGTAAGAATCGTCTGGTTGCACGCTGACATTTGTTAGACGAGATTACGCTTTTCCTCCGGTTCTGATTGTCTGCAGTGTGGAGAAGTGGTAATCTGAGCGATGGTGCACAAAGAGGGAAAGATTGAAGTGTATCATCTCGTCCCAGGGCGTCCACACCATACTGCGAGATGTGCCACACACTACCATCCCCACTGAGAAAACCACATTAAATCCATCCATCCCCTGCAGTGTTCACGGGGTTCACACGAGACAGTAATCCTGCATTACCTCATGTGCCAGAAGTGGGGAATTCTGTTTACCTACGTCCATGAGCAATTATGTAACCCTAAATATTTATCAAAGTTTAAGTAGGATGCATTCAGGTATAAGTATGTCCTGCCGCCATATGGCCAACGTCTCCGATACTTCTTGTTACGGGCTGGTTTGAAGTTTTTCAGTGGCCAACTTTAAAGAAACCTCTGTATGAAACGAGTGGCCTGTAAAACACATTTATCCTACTTACATTAATAAGATACATAAAACATACTCTGTAAGTAGAGGTGTTTTTATCACAAGACGATATGTCACTTCTTTTGAAAGGAGGCAAATATTTCCTGATATTACAAAGTCTGCCTTAATAGCATTTTTATTTGAGATGATTCAGGATGCAACCATATCCCATGCCCATTTGACACAATCAGTTACTCTATATCATCTCACATATGCTTTAGCAGTAATATTACTTGGGCTCTGTAGGGACAAAGTGTGCTTGGACAGAAATGGTGACACCAACCTGCCATGGGAATTGCAAAAATAAAGGTACATCTTAAAGATGATGATACGAATTGACATTTTCTGCTAAGTCATAGTCAGCACTGGCCAAATCTGAAATATAATATACTTTAATATGAGTCAGTTTTGGCAGACCTTTACATTTTTTGTGAACAGTGTTATAGGTAACACAAACAGGTCCTTTATATACTTATTATGTATATCACTCAGAAACAATGCTTTAGAGCTGCTACTGTTAAGAGATGAAAATATCTTAACAACAAATCAAAGCATACGAAGCTCCCATTGCACACGGCCACCTCCTTTGGTTGAAATCACACACAAGATCTGTTTTGTACAAAAGCTGTGAATAAAAAATAATATATACCGTGTTATTTGATAGCTACATCTAGAATGTCCCTGCCTTTCTGTGCGGAATAATGATTTCAGTGATCTGCATGTGAGTGTAACCCTGTGCAGTATGTGATTATTACTATGTAAACATGCCAAATCAGTGAGGGAAATCTTGTATGAAAGTACAAAAAACGGAGTGAAGGAGACAATAGTGGAAGGGGAAACAGTGTGTGGTATGCAGCAGCCATACTGCCTGTTCATGCAGAGCTAATTCCAGTGTTGCTGTTGCTCATGTGCTGTCCAAGGTGCTGAAAATAGAGCCTGCTTTGTTTCCTGGAAACAGGTCACATGCAACCGTTGTGTTTCACGGTTCATTTGGATCCCTATAGCACCCAGCTTCATTAGTCCTCCAAAAGAAAACTTCATTTGAAAACAAGGAAAGGTACATTATGAGGACATTATTACAGACTAGGTTGGACACAAGCAAAAACACAAACAAACCCAGAGCTCACACTGCCCTTTAGAAAGGCAAATGCCTGAAGATGTTGAGCACACTGTGTCAGTATCCATGGAAACAGAGAAACTGACGAAGGGACCACATTGTAACATTGGAGAGCTGATAGACATGGAGGTAAGGGTAGAGGCTGACAGGGTGTTCTTTAAGACAGTTCAATAATAGAAGTTTAATGTCAGGTCGGGAGATCTAAAGTCATTTCTCACTGTGGACTGAATAAACTCAGACTTAAAGGTCTGGGACGGGCCTCTACGCTTTAAAAAATGAACATCTAATTGCTATGAACTGTGTCACACTTTGCTTCCTATTGTAATGACAGTTCATAAAGAAAGAAAGGAGCAGTCACATATTATTGAAGCAAAACATTGAAAGAAGCAGTTTCAGTTTTGCTCACAGTGAGGCTGAGAGCTCCGTCCCTCCTAATTGGATTTAACTAATGTTGACATGGTGATTAAATTATTTTCCCCCGGCATTATTTATTTTCTAATCTAATTTATCATTCAGTTATTTCCATCATTTATTGCTGCATTAATTTACCATATAGGAGAACAGTTAACTTTTACATACGACTATTACTGCAATAAGCACTTAAGATGATTGCTTGGGAGAAGCTCCTAATGGCACGGTATCTACAGTAGAGGGTTTTTAATAATCCAATGTTGCTTTTATTTTTCCTGAATCCATGTGGGAAGGTGGAGGCTGGTGCTATTTTTGATTGAAGCACCCTCCTTTAAAATCATGCAACAAGTGCACCAGTGCTTTACAAAGGAGGTGCTTAGGTGGAGGACTACAGGCAACAAAGCGGTGGCAGCAAAGTGATGTCGAACCACAAAGAGAAACTGAAAAGAATACATAGATTTTGCATCAGAAAATGGCTACCTACTGCTCGATAGATGTACATCACACCAACCTGGAGTCAGCTTATAATTATGATGCCTACTTTATTTCGATATGTAACACTCTGAAGGATGAAAACAAAGCATACAGCTATCCTCCTGAACTTTACTTACACAATGTATATATTTTACTTAAACTGATATATTCCCGCACTTTAACTTTATCTGCATATTGAAGTATAAATGCTTGTTGTTTGTATGTTGTCCTGAATGTTGTCTCTTGTTTGTTTTTTGTATTTTTGATGGCACTTTAAAAAGAGGAGTAGCTCTACTCATCTCATTGCACATGTATAATGACAATAAAGGATTCTATTCGATTCTATTCTATTTACCAGAGGTTTCCTGCATTATAAAGCTTCCGCCACACATGTAGTTGCGTGAGCTGCATGTGGATTATGCATGTTACTTTTCACCATCATGCTACTAAAAGTGGAACGTGGGATAGCTTATATCACTCTCTGCTGCACCTCACTATAAGGGAGGTCAAGCGCTCTGTACTAAAAATAAACTAAAGCTTATATAGGCACACTGCAGTTTGTGTATATACAGTACATATCTGGCCTTGAGCGTGTTATGTATCAAATGTCTCAAACAAACGTTTAGGAACTGTATTCATCTTCCACTCGTAGCTTCATAAGCCATCTTTACTTTCAATAAAAGCTGATACTATTGTTTGTGATACTTCAGGAGGTTCAGATGTCCAAAAACTAGATAATATCACATAATTAGTACAAAGCTTGTTTGAGGAACAACTATGTCAGCTCACTATGCTACTTACTTTATGACATGTTAGAGCTACCTGCACAAAAAGTGAATCTATCTACAAAGCTAATAATGTGTTAGCTGACCCTGCTTACCTTGACTTTCACCCACCTAATGCATTATAGATTTTTTCTCATAATAGGGATAGACAATTTATAGGAACATACCCTCCTACAGCCATACTCCCTAATTCCCCTTTTTGTTTTCTTCCTAAGATGAATAACGACAGAGGACAAAGGAAAAGCAAATACAGGCAAAGGTGACTCACTGACTTTCTGCTCCCAGAGGACACCTCCACACCAAAGAGATGATTTTCTATTAGACGATGAGCTAGTCTGAATCCACAAAACAGTGGAGCCAATTATATGCACTTCTTTCAAAAGATGGGGGGAAAACAAGTGAGGCAGTGTCAGGCAGCATGGCAATTAAACCCACATAGGAGCCATGTTTCCTCCTCTGGCTGGCCTACCACTCAAACATTGGGTTCTACTGTCTGATCAAACTGATGAAATACTTCACAAATATTATTACAACAGATAAGAGAGACACATTCAAAACAGAACAATGTGAAAAAGTCATTGCCCTGAAAGTTGTATCCTCAGCATCGCAAAGGCTGACGAGATAAATGCAGCTTTCTAATAGGAACATAAATCAACAACAAAGTATTCTATGTTTCATTTGTAAAGTTAGAACATATAATATAGAGTCCTTTAACTTTGTACATCTGCTTAAAAAAGAAACCTGCATTAATGACTTTTTTGGGCCATATCGCAACAAACTACGTCTATGAATACAATATTGACATTTAAAAAAAAGGTTTTAAGGCTAATGTGTCAAATCCAATGCAAAACCTTATTAGAATTGATTTGGAGTTTCTGGCTCCATGATGCATGCGGGTCAAATATTGTATCTGCTTTTAGCTTCATATATGTTGAGTCTGTCATTGAATCTGAGCTTTTGACTTATAACAGCTGCTTCTGATGGGAAGTTGTGCGCTGTAAAACCAAAACAATGTGCTAAAAGATGCTAAAATGCTCAATGGAGCTGGGGGGAACTCAGAAAAGAACTCTTTGTGGGTTCATCACTCAGAACACCCCCTTCATGTTACAGTGTCGTTAGATCCACAAGCTAAAACTAAATATCAAATCAAGTAGAAATATTTATTTACGTGCCATTCATTATCAAAAAATGCTGGCAGATTACAAAGCAGTTAGTCAGTGTTTCTTTAATCCGGCACCCTGTGAATGAGTCAAGTTTGTCGAGTCACTCTGGGAGATGCTGAAATGACATCTTTAGTATGTCCTTGGATTTGGTGAAAACCATTTAATCTTTCTGCAGATTTCAGAGACAGATATCATATTAGCAGCATACCGCATGAGTATTCCATGTTAAGTGGTGGTCCTCATAATCAGGACAGGAGATGACTGGAGCCCTGATTAAATCTGACAAGGCTTCAAATCAGCTCAGCTTTAAAAAAATGCCCCGAAGCTTTCTGCTCGGGTTCTACTGTGTGCCCGAAATGTAAGGGCCAGCAAGGAAACAGATGAACTTGCAAATTGTGGAATCTGTTTCTTTGTCATTCCACCAGATTAAAATGCTCTGCACAATATGAGCCAATTCAGTTTCTGATGAATGGTTTCAGCTAGTACATTATGTCCATAGTTAATCTATAGTGTCACCAGGAATCAGGCGTTGTTTACCAACGCATTTACAACCATTTTTATTTTGGTTAATTTGTTCATAATTAATTGTTTGTTGAAAATCGTAAAAATAAAAAGTAGGGTTCAATATCTGCTCAGAGAATAGGTCACACCTATAAGCACAGGTGCAAGTAACCATAGATCAACAGCTAATGGAAAACCTACACTAACATACATTTTTTGCAAGCATTTAAAAAGATTTTTGGCCCACATTGCACTGCTGATCTCTACTTAAATCTATGACTTATGCAATGTAAGCTTGCCCAAATACTAAAACATGTTAATGAGCCGAAAAACTGGAGAGAACGGATTAATGAGGAGAAACACTGGGTTGTATTGACAGTGTTCCTTGTTAACCAGACAGTCTAAAGGTACAGCGATAATATGGTTACACAATGAAAAGGACAGTTTGTCATACTGTAGTTCTGCCAAATGACTGAGAAGGGCATCTGCGTGGGCAGCTTGTAAATCCCAACTGCTGTTTGCCAAACAATCTTTTACATTAGCCACTTGTGTACCGGCCAGTTATTTAGACGATAGAGGAAGTGATACGTATTTATTGGAAACAGTCCTTCTTTATAAATATTGAAGTTGCCCCTTTGAATACTGCTGACTCGTTCTGAAGTCAAGGTCTGATTGTCAACTGAACACAAAATGGGTAATTTCAGTAATGCACACCACACATCCCAATATGAGAGCTTCTTTTATTTTCTGCGAAGCTATTTCCGTTGACTCCTTTAAAAGCAAACTCAAAACCCATCTCTTCGCATTTGTCTTCCTTGTCAACTAATTTCCATCTACATTAGCATCACCTCAGTCATACACTTTTTATCACATGGCAATACTCATGTTGTTGTATAATGTTTTTATAATTTTTATGCTATGACGTTTGGATTTTGTGTCTGTCTTTGCTTTGGTTTGCTTTGTGATTTGGGGCTATTATACATTTTGATTTGATTTCTTATAGCCAAGTTTAACGTTTCTTCCCCATTCGAGGGTCATAATTGCAATAAGTCTTATTTTCTTTTATGACCAGTGTCCCATGTCTTCTGGTGTGCATCATGTCGACCTTGCTGCTCCTACAATGTTGAAATAGGCTTATTATTATGCAGTGCTTCACGTTTGAACCACGGCAATGAAACGGACATGATTTCATCTCAAAGTGATCTGAGCGTCCTCTTTTGTTCATTTTTTTGTCTTCTTTATGGCATCGCATATTTAATTGCAATTAAAGATCATTATTGTCCCGCCGCCAGCTTATTGGGGTTGTCCCAAGTTTACCAGAGGACAATGTAACACAAATGGTCCTGAGCCAACGCAAAGTGGATCGACATCTTATAGAGGCATTAGAAACACTTAATATTCCATTTGGATGAAAAATGAGGAGCTTGTCCGCGAGAGACCCAAAAGAAGATGGTCATTTGCTGGAAATAGGATATAATGTGACTGCTATTTTTTTTTTTCACTTTCAATGACGAAGTCAACATTTGTTATACATAAGGACTTATGTTTAAGATTAGGCCTGTAGAGTGAGATTCACTATTGAATCAAATGTTAGCCCTTTTCAAAAAAAGTGTATGCCTCAAATTCACTAGGAAACATGATCTAGTTCCTGCTTTTGTTTATCTTTTGAAATATTGCTGAGGAACCTGATGATATTGTGCATAATAAACTGTACTATACATATCTCCAAAGCCATACAACCCTGAAGATTTCAAAGGAATGCACCCAGTGGCCGATACAAAACTCTATTCTCTACTCTATTCAGAACACAAGGCCACAGTGAAGTGTCTCTTGGATCTGTCCACTGCAAAATTATCCCAACTTTCTTTAAAAACCTGTAAACCTTCATGCTTTGTAGTTTGTGTTGAACAATCCTTAAATGACACTTACCGCATTGTGCGTCTGCGTTTGTCCCACAAGGATCAGTATGTTTGAGCAGATTATAGAGAGGCAGAAGTTGAGCAGGATGATGGATCGCTCAGAGCGAATATACCTGAAGAAAAGAGAATGATGAAACAAACATGGCGTTATATAAATGAACCAACTTTAAAAACAGAACATGGTTGCAGTGTATGCTCCTATAGTGTAGCAATTACCTCCAGAGTACAATATAGATGACGGTCAACGTGATCAAGGAGAGGCAAGAGAGACCGCAGCCAACTATCAATGTCACAGATGGGACCCCCGAGTACTCCATGCTCTGGGGGGGGGGGAGGAGACAGAGCAAGACCAACTGTCAGTGGGAGGTGGGATGTTGTCAATGCAGGACGGTAAATCTTTATTGTTGCCCGTAGAGGGAACCAATCAAAACAAACCACCACCAATCTAAACAGTCCACTGTGGGCTCCTTAATATACTGTGAGGTTTGAAGTGCATGCGTGGGTTTGAAAGCAGTTTAGTCTATCCACCTATGTGCGGGACATTATCTCTGTAGCAGAGACACTGGAAACTACCGGCTCAAGTGCATTACAAAATATTGTGTTTGTTTTCCAGGCATATATAAAATCATGTGAGCTGCCAATCACAAGCCTGAAGCCAGACACACTGTGAGTGCTTGTATACATTACATACAGTAGTCATGAGTTAACTATTAGCACAAAACTGCACTTGTATGGCTTAATGAACGATTGTCATTCTGCTGTTGAATGCTTCAGGCCTGATAGAGAAGAAGATGCTTGATGTCTTTGTTTACAGGGCAATTCCTACTGTGTACTAATGCAGAGGCCATGGTGTAAGCACTATATGTTCTCAATGTTCTCTACTTTATCATCTCAAGATTTTACAGGCCTTTACATTTATCTAATTTCAGCACATGAGCTTAAAACATGCTTTAAAAACACCCCCACATAGGTCAGGTTCCCTGATGTAAACAGAGGAAAACAAGAGAAAACATGTAAAATCTGACAACTTTTATCCCTCCCCCTGACCAAATATGAGCATTTGACTGATGGGTGCACACACCCTCTGGCGTGCACGCGCACACAGAGTTATCTAAATCTATGTGCAAACTGCTAACAACCCCCACAATCCCCCTGAATTACTACTTAACAGGATTAGCACACCAAAGATTCAATTTCCATTCTCACACACACACAGGTACACATACACACAGGCAGCTTTTCTCCTTTACATTGGCCTATAAAACCCACACTGAATAACAAATCAATAGCCTACTTACTATTTCTCTTGGTTGCTGAGCCAAAATGGCGAAGGTAGATACACGATCACATAAGCATTTTGTATGGGATGCATCTGTGAGCACCGTTTTACATCCCTTTGAGGACCAGGCTCCCCAAGAATCGTTCCTGCAAGAAGAAGGCAGAGGCAGTTAGAGCTTTAATTCCAGCGGTGGCACGACTTCACGAGACTTATCCACAGCGCTTCGCGTTTCCTATTTAATTATTTACTTCGAGCGAGAGCTAGAGAGCCGTATAGGCTGTTAGATAAAAAAATAAAAAGGCGATCAGAGACATCGACACGGCTCTTGTGTGGCTACGAGAAGCATTTCAGCTGATAGAGAGGCAGAGGCTCGGAGGAGGGGGAGGACGCACCAAGCTGTCCAAGCAGACCGGTTCTGATTGATTCTCTAAACGCAAATAAAAACAAGCGTGATATGAAAACAGCGTTATTCCCTCATAAAGCTTAGAGATAAGAGCGCTCATATTTACCTGCATGTCTGTCTGCGTGACTCTCTATTCCTCTAGATGTTTCCCAAACGACTGTATTCCTTTTTTTCCCCTCTCTCAATGCCCCCTGTCTTTTTTTCCTTTTTCGGTTGATTTTTTCCCCCTCCTCAACTGTTTTAATTAGCAGCTTTTGAATGCTTCCTTAAGGGGATTTTCACCCTGGAAACGGTGGACAGCATCAGATTGATACTCCGTTCCTCTGTGCTTGGTGAGAGGGGGAGGTTGATACAATGAGAAAAGGAACGCACGCTGTCGCAGGATCTGTTTATTCGCCTGCAGGTCTAAGGATATGCCGGGAATACATGATGCTTTTGGATTATTCCTAAAAATCATTTTACACTAAAGTTGTCGCCGCTCGGCGCGAAGACCTTTGCATAAAAAAACACTGCAGAACTAATACCACCCCGCGGAAGCAGCGCGAATGGTTGCAGCCAGTCTCCACTTCACACCGCTAGTAGGTGAAATGAAAGGAGCGCTTCTCTTCCATTTGTTATCGCCCCCACTCATTTCAGATCTTTAGACGATTCTGATTAAATGTGGAAACTTAATGTTCCCGAAGATATTCAGATGTAATCTTTTTTGCCGCAGCACATACACTCATTTTAAGATTCGTGTCACAAACACCTGTTGTCCTGAAAGACACCTTGCTGTCTGCTCACTCCCCTGCTATACAATTCCCATGAGATATGAAGAGTCATACCAGTGATTTAGAACAACACAGAGCATTCTGGCTGTTGATTTGTGCCAAGTGGCCTCTGCTGTGTGAGGCAATCCTGCCTTGTCATTTGATCAATATGGCTGCAATATTTATTATTCCTGGAAGAGACTGTGAGCCCTTTGCAAATTCCCAAGCAATACTCTGAGCTGTCTGTACACAGCAATGCAACAATAAAAAAAACCTCTCAACATCACTCCCCCTCATCTCTTCTCTTCTTAACTGGGTTGTGACTGTTTAGTGCAAACGACTGATGCTTGTTCACTCCAGCCTGAACACGGTAACCAGTACACAGGTCTATTCAGTAGTTAAGCACACTCATGTAGCCACTAAAACATTTGTTTTAGTTCTAAATGACATGAGTAACATAACAGGATTAGAGTAGATTAAAAGAGCCCATATTCCCTGCAGGCTGTGGAGCGCCAACTCACGCCATAAAGATCTACATGACGCACCATTCTGCTGATTTAAAGTTTCTAGGATTTCTTAGCTGGCCTCATAAAGGAAGGTTTGAACACTGACGTCGCACCATGATGAATGAACGTCTGTGGCCAGGCTCTTAAACAAGTCCTCATAAGTAACTCTATTGAGCCGCACTGAATAATATGAATCATTCACTCTCACATTAAGCATAGTGACAAAAAAGAGAGAGGTGTTTTATATGTATAATATATCAAACATTTCTTTTTAGTTTGATGAGTGCATGATGTGTTGGACAAAAAGGCCTGGCATTAACCTGGGCTGCTGATAAATAGACATCTGTGAGTGCAACAAGGACCCCAGTGTGGTACCAGAATAGGAGCCATTCTTTGAGAACCGGTGGAAAGACAGATTACAAAAAGCTTTGCGATGGTGACATCAACTCACTGACAAAAAAATAATTTGGCCAAATAAGCAGAACATTGTATCAGAATACAAAGAGATCTGCAATGATTAGTGAATTGATTGATCGATTGTCAGAAAAGGATGCAGATCCTGCTTTTTCTCCATCTTACATGTATATCACATTACACTTAATATCTTTGGGGTTTGAGTGAAAAATCAAGATATTCAAACACATCACCATATTCTTTGAGAAACTAGGATGGCCATTTTTCATACATTCTATTGACAAAAAATCTATCTAAAAAATCAACAGCAAATTAATTCATTATGACATTTATTGTTAGTTTTATCCCTTATTAGAAAGTCTTGTTTTCAGCAGCTTTTCTTGACTATCTGTGAGTTTCCACTTTGAAAGAAAACATGATTGTTGGTTCCTGCCTGTAATATGTATGAGCGCAATCAAAAGCTAGAGAACACAAATTCTTCAAAACTGTATCTATCGGAAAGGTTGTTCTGTGAATAGTCATACAAAAGGGAACAATTCCTTTAATAGCAGTGCAGGTTTGTCATTGTTTTAGTTACAGATTCCTGTAGGGCACAGAGATGGGTAGTGAGGAAGTCTCTGTGTGACCATCAAGCTTCACAGCCTTCACACAGCTGCCCACATGAGATCACCCTTTGCTGCTGTTACACTCTCACAACACTAGCGTCACATTCACTCTCCAATGCACACTTTGTTGTGCTCAGATTGATAGCTTGAGTGATGCTGAATCCTGATAACTTTGGGATAAATGAACCGTTCCCCCCGGTAATGTGTTTTCTAACTTTTGAATTGCTAGATGTTGGCTTCCCTTCTGTGCCAGCGTGAGAGGCAGACACAGGAGAACATGCCTGCCTGGGGGATTGATGTACGCCACGTTTGATATGTTGTCTGACCTTATCGGGAGGGCGATGGTGGCCTCCGAATATAAAATGCACCCTAGAGAAAATGTCAGTGCTGATGTTAACCACAGTGAGACAGATGACATGACATTCATCACACACCCTTGGTTGACCACTTTCTACCCATGCACTGATGTATTGACAACTTTTCTAGTCAAACTTCCTGTATGACAGATTTCGATCGTGCTCCAATTTTAGGATGACAGCAGAGTGACATAAAAAGTCCACAAAGTTTTACACACGTTCAGTATATAAACCCTTGTGTCTCGCCGAAACTGATAGACGTGTGCTCAAAAACTCCAATTAGGTTTGTCTTCCTTGCTGAACTTTGACAGATGGTGTTACTGCAGCCATAAAGATCTTATTACTGAACCCATAACTTAGTCAAACTTCCAAGCAGTGCACTTAAGAGTCAAACAGCGAAGCTCTTTGACCTCATGATAGTCCAACTAAGCAGGTTGCTGCAGCCGAATAGACTAAAATATCAGACTGCTGCTTTTTAGTCCGTGTTCTTCTTCTACATGACCATTTTTGATATAACACTGCTTTGTTAAACATATAGTATTTCTTCAGGAATGGGGGATAACTATCCAAAAAGCTCTTTAAATTCATCACATGCCCACTTATGATTAGCCAGGCTGGGCTGAGGGTTTAAAGGACTGCCTTAGGCGATGCACTTTAGGCAATTTTATAAAGTCTAGAAAGACACAATGACAGGCAGAAGAGAGTGGGAGCAATGCCGGGAAATGATTCCATCAATCTTGGATCTCTTGATGACAGGCAATTCATATCAGCCTCTGGGCCAAACTGCATGTGTTAACTGAATGAAGAGAAAAGAAAAATGAGTGCTTTTTTTGGAAGTAGCAAGAATATCTAATTAATCATGATTGGTACGTAACCCCTCAAATGTAGGTAGATAGATCAGTTTGCTTAAGTTGTCAGAAAAATGATAAGATATGTCATTTTTGAAAAAGTGTTGCAACTCTGTTTCTTCATTACAGGGTAAAACCTGCCAAATGAATCCTATACTGTTGTGTATAAATAAAACCCACAAATGTTATATTGGCATTATATAAAAACAACAATGAAGGCAAACAGAATTGAGTCAGGACTGATAATGACATTTCAGCCCTACCTCAGGGTGTACTTGTAATTTACCCTAACTCACACCATCATGTATGCTCTCCCACGCAAACACAGCAAAACTTCCTGCTGTCAACTAATGCATGGTTTCTGCCGGAGCGAAGCTTAGAATTACTGTAAACATCGCCCACATTGTTACCTCTTCTGCCTCCTGATGTCCTTGCAATTACTGAAAAGCAGACCAGAAGCAGTTTAATTTCATTACAAAACAAAGAATACAATAAGTCTCGCCATTATCGTCTCTGCATCTGCAGCTTTGACGGCTTCTGTTCAAAAACAGAGCCAGAACAACAGAAGTCTAAATCTGATGTGTGAGTCTTTAGCCAGAATGTGTCTATTTAAGGAGGGAACCATTAGAGAGCGATTTCAACAGAATTGAAGAACGTGAACCTTAAATCGAAAACAACTTTAACTGAAAAGTGAAGCTGGAGTAGAACCCTAAATATATATCACCAGCTGCAGGTGCACTTACTGTTTAAACAACTTGTTGGATTTCTTAAGTGGCTCTTAACTTAAGTACAGCAAACCTGATGACAATAGATTCTCATTTCGGTCCAACAGTCTGTGAGAAGCCTGATTTTGTGTGTTTGTTACTAAGCATCAGCAAAGCAAAGCTGGAAAGTATAAGTGTGTCCAACTCGTGCATCTTCTGACATTTAGATTATCTACATTTTTAAGAACCAAGGTGATGGAGAACCTACTAAATGTTTCTCTTAGTTCTTAAGCCTTACCTCACTGCAGCCTGTTTGGCTCAAATCCAGGATATCCAGATGTTTGTTAGAACCTGAAGCTGCAACAGCTGCTTCTCACACCTTAACGCATACATGATTAATATGCTTCGGTTCTGCTGAAAGTAGAGCATTCTTGGGTAAATTCATGTTATGAACTCCATAGCACTTGATCTTTATTTCCAGAGATCATTCATTAAAGAAGGTTAAATTATAGTATTTGACTCCCTATCAGTTTAAATGACTATATTTTGTTGTCGCAGCTGTTTTTACCTTTTGAATAAACAATTTTTTCTTCTTTCCACCAATAGTTCCAATTTCCATTGATCATTCATTTAAGATGTATCTTTTATTATTTTCAACATTGGAATTAAATCCACCAATAAGCTACTTGGTGGTACCTGGTCTTGTTGTGTCATGTTTTTAAAAACAAATATCCTTAAGGCCGCTATTATTTAGTGTGTGACCTTGCGTGTTCTGCAGAGTAAATCATCTAAATTGACTCCTGTAGACTTAAGAAGAGAAATAAAATATAAGTAAACCCCTAATCTTGTGGTCCGAGCTTCAGCCCACTGCAGGTATGGAAAAGATTACAATCTGTTTGGTTATACTGTATCGTGACAACAGCTTTGTGATATAATGTATTACCTTTAGGGAGGTTTAGCGAGGAAGCAAGACACGAGGAGAATCAGATCACAAGAAATAGGTGTAATAAATATGGCAGTCAGTAAAATGGCTGTGTGTTTTAAAGAGGGGGTCAAGATGCCGTTAAGTCTGATTTACAAAGTTATTTCAGGATTTAAAGGCCGTTAATAATGAAGGGTGTCCTCGATAAGACTTTGGTGGATAATCTGAGAGGGGGAAGCAAAAACATCTGCGATTAAAAAGTCAGAAAGACTCTCGTTCGGCTCTCCGTGCACTCCTTGCGCTTTACAAGGATTCAGAGGATTATAAAAGCATCTAATTGCAGGATAACGCCAAAAGGCTCAAACTAGCTCGTTATGTAATTCTGTAATTTTGTTTTCCTGCAAGTTTAGTGGCGGTTTGGAGCAACTGAGGAGCTAGAATGCATGCAAGTGATTACAATGCTCAAAATGAGATTAATTATGTTTTTCATTTAAATAAGAATGAGTTATTAGCTTTAAAATCGGCTCGAAAGTGATCTGATTCAAACTCATGCTGCATTCACAGTGATACTTAATCTCCGAGATATTGCACATAAATGTAAAATATTATGTATCTTGGGTAGATAGTTGGATATATCACCCCCAAATATTTATATTTGAACGCTACAGGGAAGTCGGCTGATCTAAAATCACTGTGTTGGATTTCACATGTTTCCCTTGGCACAGTGGTGGGATATTGGCAATTTCAGGCTTGTGTGATAGCTGAAAATATTGACATTTCAAAGAGTAATAAAAGTGTATGCATCTGACCTGTTTACACCCAGCGCTGTGGAGACTTGATCATATTGGCTCTCTTGATCGTATTGGCTCTCTGGATTCTCCAAGGTGTTATTTTTCACACTGAGAGCTGCACAGAGGTATGTTTATTCCTATCTTTGTTTAATTCTTTATTGCATTCATGTTCTTTTTTGATTGTAAGCCAATGCCAGACAGAGCAACAGTGCTCTGGGTTAAAAAAGAGTCAAATCATGAATATCTCGATTGATATCTTACTTTCGTTGCAAATAATTAAATGAGGATTTCTTGACAACTAATTATTCTGTCAAGACTTTTGTTTCAGTATTTAAAAATAAGCAGATAACATCAGTTTTCACATTACCGGTAATTATCTTATTCTTAATATTGTAAATGATGTAAAACGCTCACTCGGATGGATCCTCTACTGCAGTTTGAAAATACTCTGTTACAAGAATCCTGCATTCAAATGTTTTTGAGAGTAATACCACTGATGCATCATACAAGTAGCACTCAAAGGTTGTCATTTATTTGAAAAGAGAACCTTTTCAAAATTGAATCTAATAACAGTTCTGAAGTGGATGTCTTTCCAACCGGTATCAGGTATAAGGAGCATCTTGTTCTTAACAAAAGTAATTGCATTTTTTTATTATCTTACTGTATAAAACTACTGGTTATAAAGAATTGCCCAATTTAATGCCCATTTACAATTTTATGACATTTTCGGCTGGCTTTCTTTCCCTTAAATAAATGGACTTTAATATGTCAAATTATTTTCATTAAGCCTGGTCCTCACATCAGTATTTCTGGGTATGAAAAACATGAAGAACTATTGCCTTCTCTCCTATTGCTCCCGTATGCTAAAAACAGAAGATTCCAATGATCTAGTTTTGCCTTTATTAAGATTTAACAGCACCTTATTAAAAATGCACTGATTTGGTTCCCTCTGCATAGCAACATGCGGGAAAAGCACAGAAAGAAAAAGACAAATGTATAGATTCTACCGCTATATCAGCTGCAGCTTTGTAGAGTTGAACAGCGTGTCCCTCTCGTATTCCCAGCACATAAACAGACCAATCACAAGTCTTTCCTCGTGTTCACACGTAAGCATGTTTACCCCTCGGGCTTCCACCCCTGTTGTGAAAGTAAAGCAGCAAAGGCTCAGGTGTGGCAGCTTCTCTCAGCCTCGCAGATTCACTGTGGCTGCCTCCAGTCTTAAATATTCACATGATCTGAATCTGGACCTCACGAGTCAGAGGACACAGTTCTCCTCTTGTGAACAACATTTCTTCATTCTGCTAATTGTTACAGTGAGCACTCTCTGTTGGTTTGGTCCAACATGGCTGACAGATGGCCTATTCGATGAGAGTCCAGAGAGTGGCAGCTATTGTGTAATAGAACGAGTCGACTGTTTGAAGTGAACATGATAATCACACCACTCTGATTAAAACGACTTATTGCATAAACGCTGCCATTAAAACACTTGCTTACGTCAAGAGTAAAAGAGAATGAAGCAGAGTTGTCCCAGTTGTAACTTTGCTGTCCAAAAATAGACCGGTTGCCCTCAAATGCAGCACGATAGAGGACAGCACAATTCACATGCTATTTGAAAGTAAGAATAACATCCTCCTACAAGCTGTTGACTGAGCTGCTTCAGCCACAACTGCTGTTTCCCATAACCACAGCAAAACTGAGGTCCAAAGTATTTCCAGTAACTGCTCATCCGAAATGATTTAGTTACACACCAAAACACACTAAATAATTTACGTGTAGGGCTGTTTTTAGTAATGAGCAATGGATAAATGTGCCATCTTTCAAAATGTTTCTCAAAAATGATTAGATATACCACAAAGTAACACATTAACACTTATAAAATTATAAAGATTCTTGTTTATTCAGCAACACTTTTAGTCAGTGGATGTGGCGTTAAGTGCCTTCTACAGTAATAAAACTGGTCCCCTAGTTGCGTTCAAAAACAGGTATTGACTATTAGGGAAAGCAAACGTGCCTTGCACAGTCACTGTCAGAATGATATTATTATCAGAAATGCAAAAGTAGGAGAGAAACTAGTGTGTTAGTGCAGAAAAACAAATCATATACTGCAAACATTCCCCATATTCAACAATGTTCTCTGACACCAAATGTTTTCTTCCACATAACATTATGGGAAATGCATTTTTCCAGTGTCCCTTGTGCACAGGATAATAAGTCTCTTCCTGTAACAATTAAAACATCCAGAGACAATAACAGAATGCAATATATTAAAAATAGCCGGCCAAAAAACTTTCAAAACAGGGTTTGCAATAATGAAATTCTGAAAGCTTAGAGCTGTAAATAATTCAACAGCTATTAGCTTCTGTTCCTGTTTTAGTGTAATTAGTAAATAGTTGCCTCTCAGCTAAATGAGTGAACAGACCTCACTGCAAAGTAGCAAAGGAGGTTGAGTCCCCGCGAGAGGAAACGCTCCAACAACTTTAGTTTTATCAAGTGACACTGTGACAAGAACATTGCTGTGTCAAATGTTAATGGGGCAGGCGAGAAAATCATTCCACCGCAAACAAGGTGACATCAAATCCATTTAAAAGCATCAGGACAGCAACCTCAGACAAAACAAGTCCAACTTAGAAGGCTACTCACTTTTCAGCAATGACCAAAAGCTTCAGAAAAGCATTAATTGGGTGTGTGAATGTGTAGGTTGTGGACAGATGAATAAAAACACATTATTAGTATATTGCAACCCAATTCAAAACCTTTCCATAATGGCTTATGTTTCACTTCTGCTGTGATTGTGTCACGTTCTTTGTCTCCGTTAGCATTTTACTTTGTGCTGTTGTGGTGTGGTGCTTCTCTTTGCCAATGCAGCTGTGTTTTGTATATGTCCTCATGATTTTGGGGAGTTTTCCCCGTGCTATGTTACATAATGCTGCAGTATTTATGGCTCAACCACTTCAGGCAGTGACTACCCAGCCTATTTGTATCTCTGCGAGTTTCCTGATGAAATCATTATTTTTTAGATGAGAACCAAAGATTAAGCTAAATGGTTTTGAACTCTAAAGTATACTTTTAGAGACTTCCGTGCACAACAAAAGTCTCTAAAACTTGGATTCATCGGAGTTAACTTATGACTCAGGACTAGTGACTCATATGGTGCTCTGATAAGATGAAATCATGACGGCATATGCTGGACGCAGGAACACTGCAAAACGTACAAACACTGACTCAGAGTTTGAAGGTAAAAATAAAACTTCACAAACTGGATTAATGTTAGTCAAAATAAACTTGTGAATCTCAGAAAAGCATACATATCACATTATGCTTCACAACTGTTTCATTTACAGCTGGAATTTTGGTATTCCTATTATTTTTGACCCATCCCTAGTAAGGGTTTAATGTAAATGGTTGCCTTGCAGGTGTATCTTCTCAAGCTTTTCTTTCTGTGCTAACCCAGCTTATTAGAGTAAGAAGAAGCTGCAAGAAGTGCACTAGAGATATTTGTTCCAGACTTTTGAAGATGAAGAAAGAATGCACACAGCCCCAATCTCAGGGGCGTAATAGAAAAGGCAATACAACAACAACAACAGCGATACATGGGAAGAATTTGAAAAGTGAAAGCGAATGCCCACTTACATGATGTTGCTGTCCCACAGCGCACAGTAAGGGTTCATTGTTCCCTGGGAGGCAAGAAAAGGACAAAATGTTTATCAGGTAAATTATGATGATAGTTGATCATCATTATCATCACCATCATAATCATCATACATCTACGGCATATTTGTCCTTCATTGTAGATCTTTGTGTTTCATACAGCACATATTCCGGACACACACACAGACACACACACTTGCTGACACGTTCAGACTTCCTGGCACTTTATCTCCAAGATGAATGAAGAGGCCTGAATCATAAAAGGGATTGTCCATGTAATTATCTGACTGCGGTACGCTCTCCTGACACCGGCTGCTTGCAAATTAATTATCGAGTCAATTAACCACCATTGTGTCGGATGATGGGAGTTATGTGTGCTCTGCAATATTCAGTCAACAGACACAAAGACTTTCTTTTATACCAAAACTAACACTCAATTGTTCATACAACATGTGTTTGATTTGAACAAAAACGGCGGTGCTTACATTTGCCAGGTGAGCCAGTTCGATCTCCAGTTGGGATTCAGTCGTTTTTGGCTCAGGCCTCACAGTCACAGCGATGACCTTGGAGTTCACAACAGTGTGGTTCCTGAGTCAAACAAAAATCACAGAAAATAAGAACAAAGACACATATTTGAAGTTCCTAACACACAGAATGTTTGCATGTCATTTAGGGTCAAATGCAAATACAGTAAAGCATAGGCCATCCTCTTGAACTCCAAATGGTACACAGAGCTTATTGGTATGCAAGATGAGTAACATTCCCAGTGTTCAAAGACTCAAACCCTTGATTTGACCTTAAACACCTGTTTCCGTGCTCTGTGCAGAAGCATTATCAGGTAAGGTTTAAGTGTAGAGTCAGTGAGACTTATGTGGGATCTATAAGGAACACTAGCATCAAACCGGATTTAAGGTCTCTAAAAAGGTTTTATGCAAGAAGAATCAAAAATTGCCATCGAATCAAAAGTAGAGTGCCAGTAGTTCGAATACATTTTTAAACTAATTGCATATTAGTCTAAGGTATTTTCTCTATGGCAGTTTGTATTGAGTTTGAACTCAAATATCAGGGAAGGCAGGATTTTAAAAAGCTGCCTATTAAACTTCAAGCAGCTGTTCAGGATGTTTGCCAGTAATGCTTTTTGAAATGATCCAAGCAGGAAACAGAGAGTAGAAATCAAAGGCCCGTCTGAACTGAACAATATGTTTCTCTTCGTATCCATGCTTTTATAAAAAAAACACATCTCTAGCTGTACAGTTGACAACATATTCTTAATATTAGAATCTGATATCCATGAGAGCATCTCACTAGTATGAGCAATGTCAACTCATCTAAAGGAAAGTAGAGTTAAGTCCGAGCATCCCGCTGCCCGAGCTGAGAACATCTTTATCTGACTGTTCACACAAGAAGTTCTTTAGCTCTCTGTTTTTAATGCACTAAAAATACCTCTGACATTTGGCAGCGGAAAAGTTATTTTCTTCTTTGAAACTTCACAAGCTTGACATTTGGCAAAGGAACAAAATCAGTTGCCACTTGAACTGCTCGTCCTCCCGGGCTTCAGGGTCCCATTATGGGCTCGTCTCCACATGTGCCCAGGGGGGAGGGGGGCTCTCCACCTGTGACAGCTGGCCTGGCCTGGAATGACCCTTCTGTCCTTGGGATTTGTTGATCGGGGTGTGACACCAGGTGTTTGTTTGCAACGTCCCGCTGCTTTTCCAGGCACTAATGTCCTCCTTAATTAACTACATTTTCCATGCTACAGTGATGATGTTTCATTAAAAGCACACTAATCTTTCATTTTAAAAAGTTGTATACATGCCATATCCCGAGCTTATTCCCTAAGAACTCAATTTAGAAGGAAATATATTCTTAAAGGACCATACAAACCAAAGGCAGTAAAGGAAACTTTTACATTTTCTCTATCCGCAGTTCATCTGAATTTCAAGTCTTTAAAACGGAACATATCAGGGACAATGGAGACAGGTGCAGCCTGCTTTTAAGCTTTGATCTACTACTTTGAATAAAAATGGACACCCCTGCAGCCTCTGGAGGGGCTAAATCTGCCTCATATTTCCTCTAGCCACCAGACCAGAAAATGCAGGCAGGGAGATATGCGGCCCTTACTTTGGTGAAGGTAGCATGAGTCCGAGAGTCTTGTAGAGAACTGTTCCCAAAATGAAGACGGGCGATCCCTCCATATCTGTAAACGAAAAGAGGGACAATTAATAAACATTATTTTCAGGTTTTATACCGATAGCCCTTATTTAATGTCATCTAACCTCATGTTGACACTGTTGCTTTAATAGAATAAAAGTGTATATTCAAAATGCACATACTGTAGGGTTTTCCTTCCAATAACTATTACTATAATAATAATAATAATAATAATAATGCTGAATTTTCATAATTTAGAGAACAGTTTTAATTGGGAGGAACAATTCTTGGCTTACAGTAAGTAAGAATGCAAGTTCTTAATGCCAGTGTAGTTTTTGCCAATTATACTTACTGTAAAGTGTAACTTTTTTCCAGCAGCCTTTGTTGACTCCAGTAAAATACTTGCTATAGAATCAGCTTTTTACACGGTCCAAATTAGAGTGGCTGGGGTTAGGCACGTGGCACAGATTCCTAATCAATCCTTTGTTTTGTTATCTTTGATATATTCCGGATAAAACTGATTACACCAATTAACCAAATTATCTGGCTCTGGATTAGGATATACAGTTGCGACTGGCAGAGTTTGAAAGGATGCTGAAAATGCTGAGTCGATGGGAAACAAGCTGACTGAACAAGCACAGGCAAGCAGGCTGTGTTTAAAGGCTTGTAGCATTATTTCACCCAAAACAAGGGGTGGTGTAGCATTAAACATTAGAAAATACCTTCCCCACAGGACTGATGTGTCTGTATGCAAGTCATGTTGTAAATCAGACAGCACAATTTCACTAAAATCATTCAGTTTTTGCTGAGATGTCCATATATTTATTTCTCATTGCTCAGCTGTGGCTAGAGAATCTATCATTCTCTATTCACGATGCATTAATCAAACAAATCTACCACAGTGCCCTCTGCAGATTCTGGAAATGTTACTGGAAGTTGGAATTAAACTTTAAACATTATGTCATATAAATGTTGTAGAGTACACCACACCATTACAGCTGCTAGATGAAGACATGTTGGACCAGAAGTAGAGTGGCTCTGATATATAAACGCTTACATACCTGCTGACTGGGAAACAAAGAGGCCCTTGGGGATGACCACTTTATCTTCCGAGTTCCTGGCCCAGTCGACCATGCCTTTACGACCCTTCATGGGGAAGTTGATGTCAGTCATCACAGACACTGCGGGGAGCCTCTGGATGCTGGCCACTGCAGAATCCAAACAAACACACCAGAGAAGAAATACTGATGATCGATATACTTTAGAGTATTTATGAGTTTATAGATTGTGTCATGGAGAATCATGCTGGTTCCAGTTAATAAAACGTCGCCCTGTAACACAAATGTTTTCACATGGCAGATGTTTTTGCTGTCTCGTACACACAGCAGGTCGCTATGAACTAAGAATTAAAGGATAGACACACATATAACACAAACATGCATGTGTGTAGTATGTGTTTTGTATTATTAAGTGAGTAGTTGTTTTTGCTGCATAAACTTTGTGTAAAATCATATTGTCTTACTATTTATTAGTTCTTATCTTTTCTTTTTTATCTTTCTTTACTGGCACCAGTGACTTCTAACAGAGCCAGGCTAGTTCTATATCTCCCTTTTCGAGTCTTTAAGCTAAGTGGCTGCAGGTCATTGTTTTGAAATGCTGCCATTTTAATGAGTTTTCTTTCTTTAATAACAATCAAAAATAAAACAATCAAAAAATAATTAAACCTATTATACTGTATGTAGTCCTTTCATCCTGCAGAGGTTGTGCAACACTTTTGCGACCCATATTCAAAACAGGATTAGAGTCGGCTATCACTCCCAAGTTAAGTCAGATCCCTAATGCTCTGTCCAACACCACTGAACAATGGAGCAGTGCATATTGGCCAATGCATATATGGCATATTCTTTTGGCCCAGGCCTACAGTATATGTTTACAGAGTGACAAAACACAGAAAAACCTATTTTCATTTGCCAACCTGAATGTGAATGTGCAGGTCAATTAAACGTCAGATAATCTCCAGCTGGGCTTTTAATGCGTTCAGTTACACATTTACCACTAAGTGCAAAATCAAAGCCACAACTGAAATCTCCTTAATCACTCTTTCCTTTTCTCGCTCCCTGCTGAGGTGCCAGTCCGTGCACTGAGGCAGCGACAAGGAAAATACCCAGGATCAACGGGAAGGGCCTCAGCATTACAAGAGGAGGATAAAGCTGTACTGTTCTCTCTCTCTGGTATCACATCCAGTCCCAGTCAGCTGGGGAATCTGAGGCTAATCCTCATTGATGCAAAACCTCTATTGTTACTTGTGCTGTGCCAATAATACAATTCCCGGCAAGACTCCGTGTTGAGTGAGATCTGTGACAGAAGGTGTGTCTGTGTGTTTGGGATGATCCAGCAGCGGGCACAAAATCACAGAGCACCACGAGACCTGCCATTTGCAACGGGTCCTGTTCACAGCACCAGATGTTAGAGGCAGCAGTGGGAAGCGTGTGTGTGTGTGTATGAATGTGTGTTGGTGGTTTTAGTCCCGGGGCACACTGTGAAACACAACAGGGGGCTATGGCGGCTGTCTTTCAGAGTCCTGGGTAATCCTGCTGGTAAATGGGGCTTTGCACTTGCCTGATGGGTATAGGCAGCACAAATAAAGTGATAATGCAGAATTGTGATGCTCCTGAACACCGAGAGTATTCTGTATGGCGCGTTATCATAAGAGGGAATTATTGCACCGCTCATTACGTCTGAATGCGTTCATGGAAAATAAATGAATAAACGTTAGCAGCTGTCACTTGTCTGTGTGTAATTGCAATTAATCATTATTAGTGTCATAATGATCACTTCCATGAAGTACAGCCTCAAAATAGACAGCCAGAACACAAATGTCAAAAGGGCATGATGTGTTTCAGTGCCAACGTGGGGTTTCATTTTCACCAGGCTTCTCTTTGTCCTCCGAGTGTTTGCTTGTGAGGAGAGAGCACAAGTTGCCGGATTGAAGAGCTTTCCGCAATCAAGATTATTTGACTAAAAGTAGGAGGACAGAGGACGATGCAGCGGTGACAACCACTATTTATCTAGGTGTCAAGAGGCTGCCATAAATTAGTGACGAAATGATGCCGCAATATCTTACTCTGCCAGATGCTCTCCACTTGGCTTCCACCGATGGGTCCACAAAACGTTCCATTCCTTTAATCAAAAGAGCCACGTGGACAACGAAGCACTAGTGAGAGCAGTGTGTCTGACTATCAAAGCCTCTGTGTGTCCAGGGATCAATCTATTATCCTGAATCCTGTGTTCCATCTCTTATTTATGTATAATTGAAATATAATTTGGTAAATTGACCTGTTTCCCAAATACGATGTAAAAATATACCTGTTACCTTGGTTGGTGATTGGCTAATGGCTAATGGTTACACAAGCCAAATAAATCGTTATGACATCATAAAGTGGCCAAAATCTGATCAGCTCATTTTCAGACAGGTTTTTATGGAAATGGATCAGGACAAAAATATTCTCTCTCTTTTTTCCTGAAACTTTCAGCATCTCTTTACACAGAAGGGACACATGTTTATGTATAAAAGACATGAAAAAGTGGATTTTGCTTAATAGGTGACCTTTGAATGCACTTTTATATAAATACACTTTTGATTTAAGTCAGATTTCTTTTTTCTCACACATGGCAGGATTCAAAGCATTAGAGATATAATTATGTTGTCCTGACATTTTCAACTAACAGGTAAAACATTATTCTGAGCTCTTGGGCTAGAGCACCTTCATATTTTCCCAGCAGCAAGAAGCTAAGGTTCTGCTTTATCCTAGCCAGAGGCAGCTTATTACTGCTGCATCTTCCAATCATTTCTCCAAAAGGCTTTCTGCCTCAGTCCTGCATCTCAGAAATAATAATCATTTGCACTTCACCATTTCTTTGCTCTTGTTCTCCAAGAGTATATTGGGACATAATGTGTTTTTTAACAAGCCATCAACTGCCCCCTAGCCATTTTCAAACATATTTTTCAAGGCTTTTTATTTAAAAATGATGTGTTTTTCAAATTGTTATCTCTAACTTCCCACCTATCGCTCTTGTCCAAACCAATAATGTACAACCTTGTCCAATTGTACACACATCGCATTACTCAGATATTACAACTGTTATAATTATCAGTTTTTTGTATTTCAACTAAATACATTTGAAGGAAAGACGGACTGTCTGTTTTATTAGTAAAACTGACGAAGCAACACAGCTGCAACTCATTAAAAGGTGCATGAAGTAATCAGGAATAGTTCAGTCACACCAGGAGAACTAGAAGAGGCAAAACATCAAACTACAATCTGCTTTCTTTCAGAAAGTCATATTTATTTTTGATGCATAAATGCCATGGAGTAGGTCTCAGGTAATGTTAGTGAAAATGTTGCCTGAGTCAGAAAGTTTCAACATTAAAACCTTATTTATCCTATTAAAATTAAATATATAATTGTAATATATTCCTGTGGCTACAGGTTATGCCAACATAAAAGCACATTTGTCTTTTTTTTTTTTAAATGACCATCGATTGTAGAGCAATTTCCTAATTTATTGTAGGTTATCTATCATAAAACATTATGTCAGTTGTTTTAAGAATGACATTGATTGACTTTCAATTCAGTCAAATCAAATGTTTCTATCAATGCCCCTTTAAATGCACTGATATACATCACTTGAAAAGTTATTTATAAAGAAAGAAATCTGACTTAAAATCAAACTAAAAACCTTCTTAAATGTGAAATTATTAGAAAATAGTCTCTTGTAAAATATGTTTACAGAAATTGCGATAATTCCTGTATAAGAACAATAGCCCTGATATTAGTCAGAGCTTTCTTTAGGACTGAAAACCAATGCTGAGATGCATCACCACTTCATGTTTACCCAAAGATTTTCTGTTGTGTCTGACACGGGTTTAATCTGCAGTGCCAAAGATTTGAGCGGGGGCTCAACTGTCATATGGCTGACTAATATTGTTAGGGTCAAGTATTTTATATCCAAGTTGAGCCATGCGATTCACACGGCTGTTCAAGGAATTTCCATAAATCTGGATAAAAACACTTAACTGTCTATTTAGAGTCAGTTTCACAGAATGGGCTGCATATTTAGCATACATCAGGGGTCATGTGTTAATGCTTTCTCAGGCAGAAAGAGTGGGCATTGCCATTGAAGTGGGACGACTATCATTAAGCCAAATTGAAGGAAGTATACTAATACAGGAGAAGGAAACAGAAATATTCTCACGTCTGTGAAAGAAGTCATTAAGGCTTTACGGTATGCATTCAATCCTTACTTCCAAGTGCCGATTACTTAATTTGTTTCACATGATGCTTCGTAATGGCATTTTGATGAGTGAATTCATTGTTGCTTTTCTGGCTGGGCGACCTATTCATCCGTAGAGATTATATACCATAAAGAGCCACCAAGTGCAAGTGTTTGCTAGAAGTGGGTCAAATGTTGGCTATTGTAAAGAATATGAAGTAGAAACCTTGCTCCTTCAGAGCAATCACAAGGTTTTACATGCTCACATTCACTTGCATGAATAAAACAAGCCTGCAGCTCTATTATTCCATTTCAGTAAGACACCAGTGAGAAATGAAATGCCATGGAGACTTCAGATCATCCAAAAGGCTGCGCGACAGTAGAAAAAGTATCCAGCAGAACATCAGGGAATGGAAATGTTGCTAAAATACTTTTTTTTTCTTAAAGAGTGGGAGTTATAATCTGGTCCACAATCAGTGGCGCAGCAAAAATGTTCTCAAGCTCATTACAGCTGCAAAGAAAAACCTGTAATTTGACTTCCACTTGTATAGTCCTTTATCAGATACTCCAACAATATTTTTCTTTGCATGACTGCTTATCTTTAAAAGGAGTTGACAAACAATCTCTTTTCAAGCTACGGCACTTCTGAACAACATACTTAAGGTTATGCTCTGCTAATGATGTCTCCCTCAAAGAATTGCAGTACAGTACAACACCACAAATACTTACTAACCATTCAAATATGACACAAACGTACTTTGATTATTGGGGAACAAACTATGGATGTATGGAAAATGTACAATAAAAGAAAATTAAATGGATTTAGAAGACAACAGACTGAATAATAAAGACAAAAACAGCTGTCTTTAGCATATAATAACACCTAAAATAACAGTAAAGCATCAACATTGTATATTTAAGGAGTGCTGTGTGTATTATTTTCTTTATAACTCTATTAAAGAAGAGTGTTTGCCTTGTGGGGGTTCTTTCACTGCACTCTCATGATATTGGATTGAATGTTAAGTGTTTTCATAATAATTCAGCATATTAAGACCACAAGCTCAGTTTTAATTAGAATTATTGATTAGCAGTAATTGTACTCCCCCACCCTTACCACGCACCATTTATCCTCAATTAATGATGGTGGAGAAATGTACACAAGCAGTCGGCAGGGATCTTGTGTCCGTGTAATACGGAAATAAATAAGAAAACAAACTCTGTGCCTGAGGGCCAGGAGGGGAAGAGGGCCGATTCTTACCCAAGTTCCCAGTCATCAAATAGGCATTGTGGAAATCGTTCATGCCCAATCCAACGATGTGGATGAATTCCTCGATGACCTGCATGAGCTCCACTGCTCCGGGATAGATCTGGACAAGATATGAGAGACAAGGAGACATTTTCAATTTCAACGGTTGTTATCAGTGGAAAGATGGGAGTGTGTAGCACGACAGAAGAATGGAAAAAGACAGCAAATAAAAAGCAGGTTACACACACATATTGTAAATAAACTTCAGGATTATACTGTAGTTAAACGCAGACGCTGTAAGAAATATTAAAAAGGAAATTTTGCTGAATAAACAACAAAAACAGAAGAAAAGGAGATCAATAAGCACATGGGTCACGGTGTTAGACATACTTATATTATGCTTAAAATGTATTGTGGTTTGAAACTGATTTCACAGTATTTTCACATAAATGTATCCAAATTTCATATAATGGAAATTGAACCATCTACAGTAGAACAATCACAAAGTGTTTCGATAGTTGATTAGTCATCATTAGTAGTAGTAGTTTTAGTAGTTTTTAGGTTAAAACTAAAAACAGTGTTTGTTTTCACTTTATCCAATGTGACAATTTGACATTTTGTAAATACCAAATAAGCAATGAAGATATGTAACCTTGAGTTCTGGGAATTGTTTTCATGGGATTTCATTATCCTCTGATACTTTACAGATCAAACGGTCAAATAAAGCAGTGGGTAGATAGATCACATTAAATCAGGCGTTACAGCAGTTAGCGCAGGGTTATGCTGCGATGTTAGAATGTCATTTAAATGGCCCATTTAGCACCAAGTGACTGCATGACAATTACCGTCTTTGAACTCCCTCATGGCGGCGGTGTACAGCTCTGGTTCGCCAGATACGTGATTGGCCAACACAGAGTGGTGTTGGGTTGTGTTTATCCTGCTTTTCAAAACGTTTGTTTAACCTTTTGCTGCAGGCCTTTCTTTTATTTTGGCACCCCACCACCACAGTTTAAAAGCAATACCTGAGTGGTGTTTTCACCGCAACGCCTGGATTGAATGCAGCCTAATTGAACCATGTGACACCAGCATCAGAGCGATAACCCCCGTGTTTGCACACACAGTTGCGGTCGGCTCCTCTTCTGAAAGGCTCTGCCAGCTCAAGGGTGATTGCCAGGGTTCATGTGACGCTTCACGGACAGCAGCACTCGGTGGGGGAATGCAGAGGCAGGATTTCATGTCCACGACCAGCAACACTGCTAGTCCCGTCAGCTCTTTCCTCGAGTCGATAAATCAAAGGCACACTAATCCGATAATTAACCTTCAAAAGATTGGATCACTGTCATGGCTGCCGATCTAGTTCGGATGGGTCGAATCTAATAAGAGGCTTCAGTGGGGTGGAGAGCAGTTTTGCATTCCTTTGACCCCGATATTGAGAATATTGTTTTAGTACTGTGTAGCTGTGGCATAAATTACGACATTCTGTGCAGCTGCACAGACCAATACTGTTTTAACAATTCAAAATGTCTGTAAGAGAGCTGTGTCACACATTGTGTTTTTGCAGGACTTGAAAAAATGTGTGAGCACATAATGTTGATGTCAGGCAATTAGAAAAAGCGTGTGAGTGGCACTTGGCAATTAACACCTCACTTTTGATTTTGAACAAACACCTGAGGCAGGTATTTCCCCCCTGGACGAACACCTTGTGTGTGTGTGTGTGTGTGTGTTTCACACATGCCGCCACATGTGCTGCTGCTAAGCCAGGCAGGCGGCTCAGTGATGCTGAAGTTGAGAGCCTCTGACACAGCATAGTGAGAGCCATGGTGGGGGAGAAAAGCACATCACGTCGCCCCTTCCGGCATGTCTGACGCACAGTGCAGTCATGTTCATTCTGCTGGTCTCCATGGCAACCCTGAGATGTGAAGGCAGCACAGGGAAATGGCTGCAGTGGAGGATCTATAGACAGAGCTCTTCCTTTCCTTGCCATGGTAACAGTGACAGGAGGTGAATATATAGTGATCTCTGCACAGAGCCAACTCTGCAGCCAGTAAAACCTCATAGTGAGGTGTTTCATGTGAGTGTTTTGAATGCCCACAGCACGCAGTGTGTGGGTGCTGTGCAGTGTGAGCTCAGAACACTCATTAATGTACCACAAGCCAGCAAGTGAGAAAAATTGATAGCTGTGAAGTCCAAGCGTCGTTGTCTGCTGAAATCAGACAGCGTCGTTTAACCAACGTCCTCTTGGTGAATCTGAAGCAGCAGCACTCCTCGGACAGGCACATTAATAACGACAGAAATAATTAACACATATCTCTTCTGGGCGTTCAATCACAGAGACAACTTTTCCTATTCCTATATTTCCTCTGATCTATCTGTCTCCATCTCTGACGCATTGATGAAGCTGCTCATTTGTGAGATCTTCTCAGACAACATACCTTTTTGTCCAGCAGAACTAAAGCTGCATTGAGTACACATGTAATTACTGCCTGTAGAGACATCAGACTGACTTTGAACTGTGTGCCTTCCCCTTGTATCCAAGTAAAAGTCAAGCGTGGGGAAACGCAGACAAAAAAGAGACCCGGGTGATTTTGAGACACCCCTCAGCCATGTGTCAGTGCCGGTGATATACCCAATTTAAGTCAATTTACCAGTGAAGGTGACAACGGAGCAGATGCCCTCTGCGGGCTCGCCGTCCATCACAGATGGTATCTCTGTCAGAGACTGGATGTGCGTGATTTCAGGTTGTCTGAGACACCAGTGGCAGTTTTTTGAAAACAACATTTGCCACCTCTCAAGTTGAAAAATGTGGCCGACAGAGGACGTAGCCAGAAGCCGATCTCCTTGGATAAACACGGTGGCAAGAAAGTGCACTGTTCTGTACACATTTTTTTATCTACTTTATTGCCCCTACAATTTGTGTTTGGTATGAGACTATGTTTTTATTTAAATGCGTCTCCATTTGAATGAGATTCCTCACAATGTCAGAGAAATACAAAAAAGGCAATAAGTTTAGAAGCAATTAAACCTTAAAACCGTTTTTTTTCTATGATGTAATTCTACACAAACGATGGTTTAAACACACTGGTTGCTGCGATCTATCCCAGCTGGGTGAAACATTGAGTACGCAGGAGTGAGTGAGTCCTGCAGTGTGAACGTTGGCCAGTCTCTGTGGCAGTGCTGCTGCCACCAAGTGGAGCTCCGAGGAAACAGCTTTCTAAATGAGGCCAGATGTCACAGCTGCAAAATGACCTCTCACAATGATATGTGTAAGTGTAACATCCTCTCTACACCGAACATGACTTTATCTCTGCTAACTCAGACGAAGCGACTGCAGAGAAGCGATTTTATTTTAGACACAAAAAATTCATGCAGAAACCTGAATTATTTACTCTGCGTACAGCGCTGTGCTTACCTTGTGTGCGTCTTCCCACTTCTCCTTATTTTCCTCCTCCAAGAGGTTGCTGATGATTTGAAAGAAGTTCTGCGGAGATGATGAAACGGAAAAATATGTCAAACGAAGACGTATTAGAGGCACTGCTGCAAGATGTTTTATAAAAGCATGACATACAGTATGAACAAATCATATACGCACTCAAAGAGTATCATGGATAATAAACTGACATTTCGCAATCGCAGGGATTTCTATAACCATAACGGTCACTGCAGGGCATAATAGCCCAAGGAAATGTGACAATGACGCCATGATGGTGTCATCAGGAAAAAAAGATGGACTTTGTGGATCAGCCTTGGCACAAATACACATCAAACCACCTGCAGCTTGCAGCTAACACATTATGCTGGAGGAGAGAAGCTGCAGTCATAAAGAAAGATGAAAGGGAATGTTTGAGCAGCTGTGTGGATTGTCTTCTTCTGCGGCAGGGGCTGCAGGGGGTGCATGCCTGCAGTAGTGATAGGACCCCTGTCTGATCTTTAGCCTTGTTATTTCGTCTGGTCTACATTGTGCCTGAGGGAGTGGCTCTCTCTCTTGACACAGGCTATCTTGTTTTCTACTTGAATGCTTATGCTCCCTCTGGTGGTAATGTGCCCACTTTAACACTGCATTAGCTCAGAGACACGCGGAGGGGGTGGGCTGGCTGGCTGCTCTGCTGTCTGCCCACACACACTATAGAGCTCTCATAATAACCGGAGAAAGGATGCTTTCCACATCTCATAGATTTTCTATGGTGGGGAAATGGGCCCTATGTTTGCCCATCCATGGGAAGCACATTTGGGTTTTATTTCTGCAGGGATATTACCAGCAGACCGTACAGCTCAGTGGAAACTGTTGATAAATGTGCAGAAAAAGCAGCAGAAAAAGAAAAAAAGAGGATCCCTGACATTTTGGAGTCCAAATATCACTGCGCTTTGGATGTCCATAATTCATAGAGTTCAACATTTTCAATTACCTTCATCCTAACCTGATGTACAAGCACCAAACCAATTAAATCCTATCACATTAAAAAGACACTCAAATACTGATGATGTGCATCTAAAATCACTGATACTGATTGCTTTTTACAATCCAACATTCTGTGGTATAAAAAATATCATTTATTGAAAATAATGTATAATCAGTGGAAACAGCACTGTGCTATGGGTCTTAATAACCAGCTCAACTTTCACATTATTTAAGCAGAAATCATTTCAACTGCAAAACAGAAAATGGCTAATGGGCAAGAATCTTGCCTTTCCAATTTCCGCCACTAATACTTACATCTCTATGCAGAACAACAACAACAACAGCAACAATAACAACAACAACAACAACAACAACAAAACAAGCTCGTTGCAGCAACAAAGACAGATTAGAAACTCAACAAAGTACTATAATGGAGAAAAGGCTTTTTCATTAAAACACATGCAATATTCAGAGCCTGCTCTGCAGCTCCCTCTAACAAACGGCACGAGCCAAAGACATTGAAACAGCACAAAGAGCATAAAGAGGCCTGGGAAGGGCGTCTTTAAAAATGACACAGCTCTGAGGACATAAACTATGTTATTGGTGATGGAGGTGGAGCTTTAGCTATAATCTCCATCATCCCATTGACATAAAAAGGATCAAGACTGCAGTCAACCCCAACATGATGAGATGAAACAGCTTAGGGCGGGGAGGGAGATCTCTTGATACAATAGAGTCTCGCTGAGCGTTCGTCAGCCTTTGTGCTATTTCAGACATGTTACGAAACATTGGTTTCCCCAATATATAGAACACACTAAAACATTATTCTTGTCCAGTCTTTTCGGCACAATGTGTGAGCAACCACGGATAAGGATATGTATATGTCACTTAGTGTTAAAACAAGCCCACTGCGCACTTACTTGCACATCATCTGAAGAAGGCGCATAGCTTGCTCTCTTGAAGGTCTCCGTCACATTACGAAGGATCTCCACAGAAGACAGCAGGTCCCCGGCGTAGAAGTTCTTCCTCTGGGTGAGGTCCAGCAGATTCTTCGTGACCTGGGACATCCCATCCCCAGCCAGCATCCTCTGGCCCTTTGCAAGGTGCCCCTGAACCTCCAAAAACAGGAGAACAAAGAACTTGGGGTATCGGTGTCCTCTGAAGGTTTGCAAAGATAGACGCTAAACTACCCATTTGGATTAAATGGAGTGCAAACATCAGGAAGAAAGACTGCACTCTCTGAGGCCCTTAATGCGACACTTATGTCTAAGCCAGGCTGGGATGTATTCTGCCTCACGGATGTTTTGAAATGAGCCAATATGAATAAAAGAGTTAACTGGAGCAGAAGACACACATTTAGGGAGAAGTTGCGCTGTGAAATGACATTTCACGTCATTGCACAGGGTTTATGTTCATAAATACACGTCCACAGGTGCAGGGCTATATCTGCTATCTCAGCTCTTATGAATTGTTTTATTTTTAAACTGTGATGGAGGGTTACCAAATTACCCATTCTAGTGGAAGTGTGTTACCAGAATAAAGGCAAACGCACAAACGCAAAAACGTTATTAAATAAAGCTCTCTAAAATGGAGGCAGACTATAATAAAAAAACAGATTTTCCTTGTGATCCAGATGTCGCGTGGGATGAAAAACGGATGAAAGGGATAGATGTCACTCCAGGTTATTTTGGTAAATAAAAGTGATACTATTGAGAAGTACAAGGTCACTTTCCACTGAGTTTCCCTTACAATGTGATCAGGCTGCTTGATTATCCAATAAATAAAGTATTTTGGATTTTGTTATTTAAAATAAAGCAGAGAAATGAATACAACAACAAAAAACAGATAAGAACATGCCAAAAAACTAAATCAAAAAGCTAAAAGGAATCAAGGATGACAATGTATTACACAGAAAAGATGGAATAATCAGTGTTTAAATCTGCTCTGCTATTGAAGTGGTTAATCTTTGGCTCTGGTGTGATGGGAATGAGGGGGAGGGGGAAAACACCGCGGAGGTAATTTATGATGCATTGGAAACAGAGGCAGTGAAAGGAAGCTGACTTTGCACCTACTGATTGCTGCAAGTATCTGAATTCATTTGTTATGCATCTAGCATAGCTGGGCTGCTCCCAGAAGGCCATACCACGGTGATCCAAAGAGCAGCGTCGACTAGTGGTGCCTGTAGAGGGGAAAGGAGACAGCGACAGATTTGGAGAGGAGACAGAGCGAGGGAGGGAGGGAGGGAGGAGTGGGGAGATGAGGATGCAGGCGTATGAGAGGGTGGAGAGGGAGCCGGGTATGGGATTAAGACCAAAGGCGAGGCAAAAGAAAGGCAGATGGAAGTGGTGGAGGGAGTCGGGAGATGGAGAGAGACAAAAAAGCAAGAAGAAGACAGAGGTATTAATTATTTCCATGAAAGACTTATCTTTTTCCCTATCCTCCACTTCTGGTGCCCATCACTCACCATCAAAATGTGATGTCTCCCATTACATTTTGCAGTAAAGTTGAAGAGAAAGACGGAGAGATGTTTCTGGAAGGAGAGTGCTGCAGTATTTGAACAGAACCGTTTTATATTATAAGACCCGGCCGCTTTGCTTTCCATACATACATATTGTGTGTTAATAGAACGTACAGGGGCTTATTCAAGCATGCTGCAGCTCAGCTATGATAGCTGTCAGGCATTTAAACAGTGATCCCAAAATAGCAGAACCACCCAATATCCACCCACATCGCCGTACACATCCTACATCGGGGTCCAACATCACACCTTCTCTGCTGTTGACCCGGTGGAGTGCACTTCACACATCACCCCACCGCTCCAACACAGGTGCTTGACATCCTGAGGAAAAACTCCCACAGTACAAAACATCTCCCCTGGCATTGGTGCTTCACATAAACCCATCGCTATCTCTTGTTCTCTCCCTCTCTGTCTTTCACACACTAGCACACACAGACAGAGGGAGATCAAAGCCACACCTCCTACGCCCACCCTTTCCACTGCTACTACCTGGAGATGCCATGAGTGCACACCAAACATTGCTATATCCCGGGAGCGCCCATGCAGCACTATGAGACAGCCCACAGCTCTACGGCACACTGAGCATACGTCTCCCTCCAAAATGGCTCCACCTGAGCTGTTTTTGTTCACTTTTACAGTCCTGGTGCCGGCCCAGAATAGAATGTTTTCACAATGTTATTCGAATTGTCTTCCAGGAGCTCATACTCACAAAAAAAGAGCGTATTTTATGATGGCTTGCTACCTAGAAATTAGGGATTAACCTCAATTGTGGCTCTGACATTCCTAAAGGTCATTGGAAGCGGAGAATGACAAAAATGACACAAAGCATTAAGAAGAGGTCAAGTTCCTAAAATACAAGATAAAAATATTTTTTATTGATTTAAAAAATATATGAATCAGAAGCAATGGTGAGACAATGTTTGATGAACTGCTGTTTGTTTTTATTTTAGGGTTATATTGTATTTTGCAATTATGATGCACCATAACAGCATACAGTATAAATTGCCCGAGGCCAAAACAATTTAAAGGTAAAATGCCTGGACTAGAGCTCTTTTTTTCCTTGCTTTTTAGCAGGGAAAAAAAACTTGTTTAAAACAAATACTGCTGTTATTTATTAGCTGTATAAAATTAAATATAATAAAACACTTTCATAAGCACCCTTTAAGTGCCTTTGTGATATGCTTAAATGAATAACAGTCAAAAAGAGATGAAGACTTTATTGTATACAAAGGGTCCCATCTTCATTTAATATCTGCATTAGGTTAATAGATATATTTTTTCAAGTATAAGAACTGGATCCCTCCTGGCCTGGATCCATGTCCGTAGTGGGATCAAAAAAGGTCAGAGAAGAGCGATGAGAGGCTTTTGCTCTGATTCTGCACCAATCTGTCATCTCTTGTTCCCTCAGTGATATGTAAAGTAGGTTGAATATGTAATTATTGGTCAATAAAGACTAGCTTGATCAAAAATCAAGGCTGCAGTTCTCCATGGCATTGATCTGTCCCAGTCCCTTTTTAACAGCGTCCTCAACTCTGCAGCTACTAAAGCAAAGTTTCTTCTTCACACAATGCTCTCCAAAATAGTGTTTACTGACAGAGTAACACAAAAGCAATGTCTAAAAGCTTTAAGAAAGAAAGAAGCGTTCAAACCTGTGCCACCAATACCATCAAGAAAATGAATGACTTAAATGTCACAAACAAAATTGCCTCAATCAATCTCAATGATGTTGTCTCATGTGTTTGCTAAACATCATCTTTCTCCACATTAACCTGTGAAGGGTTTGTTAATAACATGTGGTTATGTCGTTTTAATTGCTCCTCTCTCAGTTGGGTGACTCAAACTTTAATTGATAATTGAGATTTGGGGATCTAATGAGAGAGTCATATAAATAAGAGCATAATGTTGACAAGAAGAATCTTTACTGTCGGCCGGTAAATATTACATGGGAGTATCAGTAAGGTATGCATACATTAGCATATTTAATAACATTGGAAAGACCAATGTATGAACCTTTGTGTGATCCATAGCGCAAAAATCCATCTGCTGAGTGTGTGTGTGTGTGTGTGTGTGTGTGTGTGTGTGTGTGTGTGTGTGACATGTGTGTGTGTGTGTGTCTGTGTATCCTCTCGACTTTTCCCCCCTTCTCGCCTGTGGTGGCAGTTGTCATCCATGATGACCGTGGTGGTGCTGACGCCCCTGCCCTGGGTGCTGTTCCTACGCTGACCTTGATGACGACAGTGTGGGCGCTGAAGCCCCCCCAACACATTTTGATGCTTCACCAAAGCAGTCTTGCTGCATCCATGTCGCACATTTTGTTTTGTTGCCTTTGCTGATCAATATTTCATCTTTGTTTACCCGCTCGCAGCTGCCATTACTTGTCTCACTTTCGTGGACACAGGAGATCTGTCTGTGAGGCGTTTTTAGTTCTTTTCACATTTTCTAATTAGGAGTTATGTGAGTTTGATCTTGATCTAATTACAAGTCAAAGGTTGGGCGGTGCTGTTTTCATTTACAGGTTCATAATGTGGGCTCTGTGAAACCCGCTGACACGGGAACTGTGATGAATGGCTTTACAAATAAACTTGACCTAACCTGAACTATTGTCCATCATCGTTCCCCCCCCCCCCTCTGGTCAGTGACCCTGGGATGCACTGTGCTTAAACATGAACAATGTCTTCTCTCTGTTATTTTAGCCTTTTATCATGATACTGGTCTTCTGTTGCACATGCTTCAAAGGACCTGGCTCTCTGTAATATAGCACCCTGTGTGTTTGAACACATCCTGTGATTGCCGAGGTACCGAGTCCATAAGCTAAGGTCTGCTTTAATGTACTGTATGACCTGTGATTATCAAAAATAACACTACATTGTGGACACATTTCTGTATTACATTACATTACAACCCCTGATATAGCAAATTAAAGTGGGATTGATTCATTATTAATGTCCACTGTCCACACCCGCATTTTTAAATATCATTACTTTACATATTAATAGGATACTTCTCAGTAAGGAACCCAAATTATTTCGCCAAATGTCCCAACCCTGACAGATTGACCTAAATCTGGCAAATGAAGCCACATCTTGATGTCAATTATACTCCTACACTCTAAAAACGAATTCAGGCAACCTTTCAAATCCACTTAATTAAATGCATGGTTGCAAGATAAAAATGTGAGTTAATTGATTCAGATAAACATTTTAAGTTGCAAACATTAATTTATAAGTTGTGTTGACGTAATAATGTTGGTAATTACATCAACTTAATATTGTGTGTAATTTGAACTCTGATTTCTGCGTTAATTGACTTAAAACTAAATTCAAGTTGTAGTAAGTAAAGCAATTGGCTTGATAACTTAATTGTTCTACACTCCCACTTAACATGCCTGGACTGCTTTACTTACTACAACTTGAATTTAGTTTTAAGTCAATTAACGCAGAANTCACTTGTTATAAGTTGTACTTGCTTCTTCGACTACTCTGCGAAACCAACCGGGGACTACCTGTAAAACAATTTTTTTGCCTGCTCCTTCGCAGGCTATCTCGTGCCAACAAACGTTTAATATCGTTTTTCCTAAGCGATAGGGCTCTGTAGTTCGGAGTTCATAGTGGAGTTACGGTTTGTATATCGTCGCATCGCACCTTCGTCGTACCTGCAATCGGGCTGAGCCTCATGTCCTGGGGTGTGGGTTAAGCGGCAACTAGTTTGTCACGGATCCCACGTTGTCTCTCAAAATAAAAGTAGTCCTACATCACCTTCTTTTAATTCCACAGAGACATCCCACTAAATCCGGGTGACAAACTAAGTTGCTCAGTTCGGTGACTTCCAACTGAAAAAAACAGTAACACACAAATTGCTACCAGTGAAAAACAACCTATAAATAATAGCAACAACCACGGTTGACCGTGAAATTACAACTATGACAAATAACAAAACCGGTTCCAATAACGCTCCAACCTGACTTGAACTTAATCAAAAAATGTTTGCAACCATTATGGTTTAGACAATACGGAGACTTCGTGCCCTTACAAAAATTACAGTCCCAAAGTACACTTACAGAACTAAGAACAACTTCCAGAGACAAGACTTAAATAGATTACACCAAATTACTATCCCGCTTAACACACCAGAACATGAGGCTCAGCCGATTGCAGGTACGATCGAAAGGTGCGATCGACGATATACAAAACGTAACTCCACTATGACTCCGAACTACGACGCACTATACGCTTAAGGAAAAAACAACACACAACGTTGTTGGCACGAGAATAGCTGCGAAGGTAGGCAGGCAAAAATTTGTTTACAGGTAGGTGCGCCGTTGTTTCGCAGAGTAGTCGAGAAGCAATACAAACTAAACAAGTGACACCAAACAACAACAGACTTCAGTACTTGCAATCAACCACGAGGTCATATTAGCCATGGGGACTTTGAGTAGGTCACTCTTTGCAAGGCGCCACGTTTTTATTCGCGCTAATTTTACGCAATTAAAAAAATTGCGCAAGTAAAAACACATTAATTAATTAGAATTAATTGCGCAATTTCAGGGCCGGGATTAAACATATATAGACTCTGGGTATTACATACGGATTTTTATCGTATTATCCTCTGGAAATTTCGCTAAATACGAATATTTATTACCTTTTACATACTCTAATGAGT